TCATATATATAATCTAAATCCTTGAAATACTTTTTAGTTATAAGTTTATTAGTATCTAAGTTCTTTACAAGTTTGATCAGACTTTATGTTCATAAATTGTTTGATTATTAATATATCTAAGCTGACCTATCTTCATAATTTTATATTGCTTAAATATTTTAGCTACAACCTTGATTTGAAAGATATTATTAGAATATCTAATAGATTCACAAACTAGATAAGAATTATAGTTACAGAAGTTATGAAAGATAAATAATATTGGAGCTTTTAAGATTCTATCTGAAATTTAAGATAACATAAGTTATAGACTGCGTTTCTGAAACTTATCTATAATATAATAATAATTCTAAACTTTATTATCTATAGTCTTTGCTTAATTTGTTTAGTAAGCTTACGTATACTTTTATTATATACCTTATTGTACTTTTTGTTATCAGCTTCAAAGTCTGCTATAATAATATATGAAATATTTATCATTTGTTTATAGTTCTTAAATTCCTTAAAGTCATTAATACCTTTCTGAGATAATTTAACTCTTTAACAATCTTTATCTAATCCAAAATAATATTTTTGATGATAGTCTTAGAAATTTTCTGATAATCAATTTATAGCATATCAATTGTAAAGATATTTTTTCCTATAATACTTTATATCTTTAAATACTAATCTATCATGATTTTTAATTTATAAGAAGTGATTCTTTCATATATATTTATCATTTTTAGATTTGATGATATTTGTAAGAACCATGAAATAAATAAGATAAGGTTTGTTAAAGTTTTTGCTATAAATTACAGATTTGAATATAGCAGTTTCTTTCTGTCACTTTCAAATATTAATAGAGATATTCAGATTTATCTCCTTAATATATATGAATAGATAGGAGTAGGCATTAGAATACAATCAAGCTTGATAATATCTAAGTATTTATAAAGACTTTTTGCTTAATATATATGTCTTTTCAAGTGGTTTATAATTCCATTTTTATCTGCAAAATAATATTTTAATACACCTTTAAGACAATTATCTGTTAGCTTACCTGTAACTAGATCTATAATATCAGAATTATCAGGATTGATTGTATACTTTGTATTAGTGAGCTTTTTGAATATAAGAATGTAAGAACCTTCAAAAGCTTGATAAAGTGTACAGTTGACTTTGGATATAACGAACTTATTAGGCTGGAAGATTTTAGTTCGTTATAGCCAAAGTTCATTATAGAACTTTATTTCTATATACTGAACAGTTCAGTATATAAAGCGAACCAATAAAATCAATGTATATTTCAATTTTATTCATTTTGCAAGTCAGTAATTAATTAAAATGACAATAAAATGATTATTTTTATTATTCTTTATTTAAAAATCTTTAATTAGTTTCTCTATTTTCAAAATAATGAAGATCAACTTGTTTAAGATTTTTTACTGCCATTAATTTAACCCGTTTATGCAAATTTCTTAAAATTTTTATCTCTCCATTAATTTCCCCAAATTCTAATCCTTGTTTATATAAAAACTTTAAAGTTTTATCTATACACATTTCAGCTTCTGTTAAAGTTACTTTTTCTACTTCCTTTACTATTTCATCAACAGGCTCATCCTTTTCATTTTCTATTATCTCTAATATTTCTTTATCAGTAAACCCGCCTTTAACCTCATCATCAATATGAATATAATCATCTGCAGTAAGATGATTATTTCCTGATAAGCGAATAATTAATTCTTTAAGTTCCTGTATTTTGTTTTCACTTAAAATGATAAATAATATTTTTAATTTATATTTTTTTTTATCATAAATAATAAATATTAACATACTTATCAGGAATCGGAATTGGAATTGGAAGACTTGTTTCTTGTGAAAGAATATTAGTCTTTTGCCAACAATTTGCAATTGTCTCTAGTGATACCATAGACCAAGCCTCTACTGCATTAAGTAAAGCATCGTAAATATTATAATCTGCAAGTTCTTGTATTACATTATTTTGTAAATCATCATAAGCATTAATTCAATTTTTAATAAAGAGACGCTTGTAGTGACACTTAAATGAATAAATAATTCTGGCATCACAAGGTTGAAGAACTGTAGTAGTATTTAGTAGAAGAAATTCAACTTGTATATTATCTAACTTTGCTTGAGTTTCATCAAGAATAATGTGAACAGGTGCATTATCAACTAAAAGAATGATTTTTCAATTTTTTTGTTTCATTTGATTATTGAGTATAAGAAGAATCTCATTAAAGATACTAACTTGCATCCAGGCTTTTTTATTCCAGAAATAATAAACAGGAAGATTTTTATAATTAAGATTTTTTATTGCATGAGATGATTTATATTGATAAATAAAGGTAAGATTCATTATTTCAGTACCGATTGAATTTGTAGTACAAAGTATTGTAATGCGTGCCTTTTCTTTTTTATGTCCAGCTACTTTAGAACAAGCCAAAGTTCAAGAAGGTTCCATTTTCCAAAAAAGACCAGTTTCATCAGCATTCCAAATATCTTCAGGTAGATAAGGTCTAAGTAGCTGTTGTAATATGATTCTATCATTTTCTAGTGATTCAGTAGAAGGAGCACTTGCTGATTCACCTTGCTTTTTAAATTGTCGAAGTCCATGCCATTTTTTAAATCCAGTGAGCCAACCATCTGACTGGTTAAAATCATCAATATGAAGATTATTAGCAAAAAACTGTGCTTTCATTTTAAGAATGTGACTGTCGATATCTTGATTTGATATAAGAGCGTTATCAATCCAAAGACCAAGAGCACTTTCAAGTTGTGGTCATTTGGGATTATGAAATTTTTTTATATTTCCTTGCTCTTCAGTTATAATAGAAAGCCAACGCTCTTTTTCTCTTAAAATATCTGTAATTGTTGACTTTTTAATATTAAATTTGTTGGCAAGTTTTACATTGTTAATATTTGGATTTTTTTCCTTGATTTCGCAAATTTCTCATTTATGTGCAGCTAAAAGATTAACACGCTTTCTTTTTAACATAAAAACCAAGTTTTTAAAAGTAAAAATATGGCAGAGTGAAATTTTCAGTAGGCAAATATTTTATATTTGTCAGAAATAATGTCAAATAATTAATTAAACTTTGATGATCATAAGCCTCTTTTTTGCTACGAAAACTTATTAAATAATTAATTTTTAATGAATTTAATTGTAATTTATTGATGATCAATTTTTGTTCAGTATATAAAGTATAATAATAATAATAGTGGGCTGGTTAAATTTAGTTCAGATGCGGTATATAAAAATTTATTAAGTTATTTCATTATAACTAGAATTGATAATTATAGAAAATTCAGTTCTGATATATTTGATTCGTTATAGTCAGATTTCAGTATATACAGGTTCGTTATAAACAGAATCGACTGTATAAGATTTAATCAATATTAAAAGAATTTATTTAAGACAATACATAGATCCTTTTTTAATGTATCTTTAATATATTTATCTATTTTTCTAGCAGCTTAGATTATATGCTTATTTATATCCCTTTCTAAAAAAATTGAATACATCTTTTCTTTATAATATATATTTACATATATTATTCTTTATAAACTATTACCTTCTTTTATAGTAGTTGAATATTTATATAATATTACTATAATTGATTTTTTCTATAAAACTTTATTTATAAAGCTTCTTTTATTTTTGATAGAATATTGTTATAAGTTGTGACATATATAGCATTTTTGCATATTTAACTATGTTACCTATTAGAACATTAAAAATATGGGGTCTTTGCAATAAAAAGGGAGAAAACTCAAAAAAAAATAAAAAATGAATTAATAATAAATCTGAACAAATTATAGTATTTGGAACATTTTTGGCTTATAAACTAAAATTTTAATTTTTTTGGAGTTTCCTTCCTTTCTATTGCAAAGGCCTCATATATGCAGGGTTATTTTCTATATGAGGAATATTTCCTACTATTTAGTTATTAAAGTTTTATTCTTATATAATCTTTTAGGATTTTTAATATAATATTCTTTAAAGTAGATATCTTCTATTTGATCTTTAACTTATATAAAGAGAATTATCTCTCTTTTTTGTTCTTTTTTAACCAAAAGCATTAAAGTATAAGTTTGGATTATTAGATCTAGTCTAGTTTTAGGATCAGGATGAATAATTTTATTGATCATATTTACTAGAGAGTTAACAAGTTTTGGAGATTAAAGAGATCCTTTAAGACTAAATTTAAAATAAGAATTTTTTTAATAGAGGTATTTTCTTTTAAGTATGCAGTTCAATTTCATAACTTTTTAAAGTTATTCTTTTTATATTAAAAGTATGGTAATATTATTTTATATTCATGTTTAAGTATTAAGTTATTTGTATTTAATATACAGAAAACTTTTATTTAAAATATTTTCCCTAAAATGTAAGTATTTTGATGCTTATATTAATATAATAAGATCTTTTATATAAAATAAAATATTTATTTTTTATTATTATAATAAACGAATATTCTTGTAAGTAATAAAATGATTTAATTAGTCTGTAAACATATGAATTTTAAAGAAATTTTTAAAAAATTATTACAGTCAGACCTATCTATAATCACCTTTTTTAGTTTTTAAAAATTACGTGATTATAGATAGGGTGATTATAAATAAAATCCATTTATAATCACCAGTTATATAAAAGATATATTATGGTGATTATATATAGTAAACCCATTTATAATTACCAATTATATAAAAGATATACTATGGTGATTATATATAATGAAAACTTAAAATTATGTAATTTTATTATATATGTCAAGTTTAAAATTTGCAATTTTATTAATTTCAAAAAATTAGTAACAAATTAATCTACTGTAATAAAAAAGAATTAATAGAAGTTTGTTTTTTTGCTTTCAATTAGTTTAATATTCATTAATTTTGAATATTTTCTAAAAATCTTTAAATTTTTATGATTAAAATTAGAATTATCTGGTTGTTGGATAAAAAAAATTATAAAATTTTTTTTAAACCTTACATTGCTTCTTTTATATTATTATTTCCAATTCAGATTCACTATCAGATATAACTTCTTCATTAGGATCTTTAATTACACGTTTAATTATTTGTTTATCATCTAAAAATTCTTCAATTAGTAATTCTTTTAATTCTTCAGCATATTGTTTAATATTACCTAAAATGAAACAGCAGATTCAGGTAAAATATCAAAAAGATCTTTAATATCTTCAAGTTCAACATCTAATTCAATATCAATTTGATCAGATGATATTTCTTGTTGAATATAATCTATAGATGATAAAATTCCTGTTTTGATTTAACAGTTTAAAATTATATTTTGTGATACATCTAACTATGCTTCTAATATGTAATTAATTGCTTCTAGTAAATTCAATTTATTTCTTAATTTAAATAAAAAAATTAATTGATTTAATTACATAATATAAACTTAAATAAATAAATAAATAATTTATTCTTACTCTTT